GATTATTTTGAATGAAAATTGGAATCGTTAATTTCGATACAAAAAACAAATAAATTTGTCTATGTTTAATCATATATTGAGTTTCAGCTAGTATTGTGTTCTATTAAGATGAAATTAAATCTCTTAAATTAATCCAAAGCATATCACACTAAGATTGTATTCCTTAATCTTTTTATGTAGAAATAAGATCTCATTGATGCTCTATTTAAACTTATTTTGAAAATATATTCACTTATAGTAGCGGCGTAACCAGAAAATGTTTGTGAAGAAGGGCGCTAGATCCCTTATAAATCTCATCTATAATAAGTGCACAGCTATTTGAAAGCTTGTTAAAGGAGCTCGAATGTTTCTAGAGAGAATTGGGACTCCTTTGGTTATACCACTAATTTTTAACATCTATGGTATTATTGTTTAGTCTTGAAGTATTGTGACGCATCGATCAGAACTTTATTTTGAATTGCAAAAACGAAATTTAATTAAAATATTAATGAACAGAAAATGTACACTACAGTCTCTTTATGACTCATAGTATATAATGACAATCATGTTATGCAGATTTTCATTTTAAATTTTGTTTTATTTTCTCTTTTACAATGGTTTTTTCAAATGATTTTGAAAAAATTTGATAAAAAAGAGAAAAAAAGAAATTATGACAAAAAAAACATTTCATTCGTTTGTTTTTTTTTATTTAGATAATCCATGCCATTCCTCCCACTATTTATCTTTTAATATTCACAATGCAACTACTCACTTTTTTTTAACTAATAAAGAAAGATTTTATATAGGGATGCAACAGTGACGGTGGCCATCGGTGTCACCGATCATCAGTTCACCGTTCACCGGTCTTACCGGTTCATCAGTTCAGCGTTCACCGGTCCACTGATATACAGTGCACCGTAAGCACCAGCCACAACGTACTCCAATTAAAGCTACTCAGGTTGATCTGATTCCTATCAAAAGTGAAGCTGCTCATATCATAATCGAGAAGTGTATATTCAGTCGGTACCCGTCTAGCTACTGTGATATATGATCCTATTACACAAACTTCATAAGCTGTTTCCATATAGTGAGCGCTTCACGAATACGCTACTGACTATAGGCATACGACAGCCAACATCAGTATGTTCATACAACTGAAATTTGCTATCGTAAAGCTATCTGAATGTTAAAGATGCTTATGCAAATAACTTAGGAATACGTTATCCACTAACACCCTTAAGGTCAATAATACCGGTTAGCATATGAGAAACCTACGGTGATGGCCAGTTTGTAGCATTCTATCGAGTCATTGAGACTCAGGGTAGCCCGTAGTGCCCATCTAGTCATCATCAGCGTAGATTTTCGTGACCCTATTGATCCTATAACTGGCATGAACATCACACTCACCTGGGAAAAAATTTTCATCTGCAGTCTTGTCGAGCACTCAGTTATACAGTTTTGACCATCACCATGAACCCTAATAATGCCGATTAGGGGAGCGGAAACCTACGGTAATGAGCGGTTTGTAGCATTTTACAGACTCATTGAGGCTCAGGGTAGCTAGTAATGCCCATCTAGTCATCATCACCGTAGATTTTTGTGACACTATCAGTCCTAAAACTGGCATGATCATCACAATGATCTACGAAGAAAATTTTCATCTACCGAAGTAACTTGCAATAAATTATATAGCTTTAAACATCACCATGAAGGCTAATAATGCCGGTTAGAAGAGCGGGAACCTATGGTGATGAGCGGTTTGTAGCATTTTATAGACTCATTGAGACTCAGAGCAACCAGTAATACCAGTCTAGTCGTCATCACCGTGGGTTTTTGTGACTGTATCGACCCTATAACTGGCATCATGACACTCATTTGTGAAAAAAATTTTGATCTGCCATCTCATCGTGCACTTAGCTATACAGTTTTGACAATCACCGTGACCCCTTAAAACACCGGTTAGGAGAGTGGAACCCACAGCGAGGAGCGATTCATAGCAGTTTACGGACTAGTTGAGGATCAAGGTAACCGGTGATGT